GCTCCAGAGGGAACAGATGAGATATTAGCTGTTTATAGCATAAATCAAGGACAGCCTGGTGCAGCAAACAAAATGAAAATATGGGGCTAAATTGATCTGGAGAGGTCTTTTCCCAATCTCTTCCAACTAGATAACCTTGGATCGATTACTCTCTTCTCTAAGCTACTTTGCAGGATACCCTAAATACCTTGAACACACAAATAGCGATAGACTGATAAATAAACAATTAGGGTTATTAATGACAGTCAAGAATTCTATAAGGCCCTTTTGGCTGCATGTTTCTATACAGTTGTTTAAATAATGCTTTCCCAAATTAGTGTCCTCTGGATGTGGTGGATTACAAGCCCCACCATGTCTAATCAGCATAGCCATGCTGACTAAAAAGGACAGAAGTTACACTCTAACTCATCGGCAAGCGACAGATTGGAGACAGCTGGTTTAAAGCATTTAGACTAGAACTGGGAGCACAGAAGAATCACCAAGTCAATATGAGTGCAAACAACAGCAGAACTTGGTTCACTCTGCCCCTAGAGAGTCTCCTTGACTTGACTTTCTTATACCATCAGGTCTTAGTGCTATCCACTTCCCAGTTGCACCCAGACCTCCTGCCTCATTCAGCCTATGACCCACAAGTGTTAGTTGTGATATGTCCTGTGAGCTGGGACCTCTGCTAACTTAGCCATGGATTTAAAATGAAACTGCCCTTCTTTGCTAACATTACTGAATCTCTCTTTTATCCCCCAAAGCTAAGAAACAGTATATCATTTGTATGCTATTTATTTTTAAAAAAAATCCTTATGAGTATTATGGTGCTTTCTGAAGTATGCCCTCCAGGAGGCAGAAAGCTACCACTTCCATTTCAATCCAGCTGACTGAAAATAGATGGTCTTCCACTTCTGTACACACTGTGCACGCACTGTGCCTGCTCTCCAAGGGCCTAATCAATCATGTAGAAATGTATGGCACCATTTCTACATGACTGGGCTAAAGGATAGACTACCTTTAGACTGGTAAGGAGTCTCATGTTTGCTTAAAATGCCTTGTATACACACATCAGAAGAGAAGGCTAGACTAAATTCTTCCTCAAAAATATTATTTCCACATGCAGAAAATCCTTTGCACTGAGAAGCCATAAAGACTACAACAATTGCTTTACTGCTGCTATTTCTGGCACAGTTTAGAAACAAATATGTCACAAAGAGAAAAATAACTCTGGCTCTATAATTCTTCAACATATTTAATTACAAATAGGCCATGTTTTTAAAGCAAGTATAACTCAATGTCTTACTTTGAAATAATCACCAAAGGACCAGTTCCCCAGCATTTCAAAGAAAGTATGATGATAAACGTCTCGACCCACATCCTCCAAATCATTGTGTTTTCCACCTGCCCGCACACACTTTTGGGTGTTCACAACTCGGTGGTAACGTTTTAGCTCACTTCGAGGATCTGCTGTGCCCAGGAAGATGGGTTTGAACTGGAAATTCAAAGTCAAATAGAAAGGAAATTTCACATACAGGAGATATTTGGCTGAGAAGGACTGCTACAGTGAGCAGGCACATTCTCTTATAACTCAATAAACCAAGCTTAGCATTAACCATGGTTAAAGGAGTCATCCAGCAAACACTTCCCAGGCAGTACAGCAAATTCGGCCAGCCACATTTTGACAGCTCCACTCTTCCAGACACTCTTTTTTCCTGGGGTCATGCTGTTACAATTTAAACAGTGTTTGCAGTGCTCAAATTAGAGTCACCATGCATAGGATGTAAGAAGGCCACTCTTTTCCTTTAGAAAATAACAACCTTCCTCCAAACCCATGGGTGCTGAAAAACAAAACAGAAGATGCTGCTCTGTGTTTATTCTTCCACTCTACCTTTTTTAGAGGAGCGATGGCTCCTTGTTATAAATAAGTCCATCATTAGTCCAGATTTGGGCCTTTTGGTAAAGTCCTTAACCATATTTTAGCCTGTAATTTAAGTTTGGATGACACTGCAAGCCAAACTACAATGTGGTTTAACATGTCATGCAAGTATGTTTTCTATTTCAGTCTCACCTATGCACACAGAGTGTGCTCAGGACATTCTTTTAGTTTTCTTTTTAACACTGTGCTAATGTCAACCGGGGACTTGAACCAGCAATTCTCTGGGTCCAGTCCAATAACCTAGCCACTCATCAGGCTGGTTCCAATTATATGTTTTAATAGTATGGGCTCTTGAAAAGAAGAAGTTATATTAAATAAGTTTAGATAATGTGAATAACAGTATAAAGCATAACAGCATATGAAGCTTACCTCATTTTTATTTAAAACATTTAACTGAATCAAGTTCTCAACAGAAAATTTGCTAGAGAAAAGAACGTAGAAGTTCTTTTTGAAATATCCCAACTGCAATTCTCAGTTGCATTATGATTTCTATGCTTCTTATTCTGACTGCATGTTTTCCTTCAGCTGAGCATTTTTTTCTCTTTTTTACATTTCCAGAAAAAATTCTAGAAGTCTAAAATGTTGTAAAATGCAGTGCAGCTTTATGAGCAATATAAATACTTCCTTTTAGCAGCGAGAAAGATGTAAAACGACGGCGCCGCAGCAGTAGTTTTTACACCAGGAAAAAAAAAAAGAAGGAAAAAAAATCCGAGAAAAAGGGAACGAGACAACACCCCACTAGAACTGTCAAGAACAACGTCGGAACTATTCTGAGAAGCCTGTTCTTTCCCCGCCCTGTTTTGGGGACGTACCTGGTTCATCCCCGCGTTCACGAACAGCAACCCGGGATCGTCTCGCGGCCTCACAGAAGCCGAGGGCACGACTTGATGCCCGTGCCGCTCCTGGAAGAACTGGAGGAACATCTGGCGCACGTGCGCGGAGGACAAGGAGGCAGTCGAGTGAACTCGGAAAGGGCTGCAATACCAGCCCCGGGGCACCCGGAGAAGGCGTCCCACGCAGCCCTTGACTCCCGCCGCCATCTTAGCTGTGGGCGGAATTGTGGGAGTCGGAGGAGGGGGCAAAGCCTGGGAGGTGACAGCGTCTCTGCGTGTGTATGAGTGAGTGAGTGAGTGAGAGAAAGAGAGAGGGAGAAAGGGAGGGAGGGAGTCCCGTATCGTAGAGCTTGTGGAGTTGTTTTCACAAGTTTTGAAATTACAATGATCTCTTTTTAAAGCAGGGTTTCCCAAAACTGAGGTGTACCTCCCTCGGAAAGGTGCAGATCAAGTCCATTCGACCTTTTTGTTTGTTTGTTTGTTTGTGTATTTATTTATTTAATGTATTAAATTTATTTATTTATTTATTTAATGTATTAAATTTATTGTTACAATAAATCCACCGTTCCCACAGTTTCATTATATTGTTTCCATTGTTCATTTGTGTTCATTTTGGTGTTTGGATTTTTTTTTTTAATAAATTTTTTATTTTTTACAACAAACACAAACAAACAATAACATAAA